CCTTGTGAAGGAGGACTCATATAGAACTGGGTCTCACAGCTGGAGACCCAAGAACCAGAATCCAAGGCAGCTCTAAGAACCTGAGGAACTATGGATGCGGGTTTTTACTCTAGAGCTCTTTTATGAATGGGCTCAGCTATTCCCCAAGCAGCTGTCTGCATCTCTGTTTCTGTCCACTTTTGTGCCAGCTCCAACTGGCATTCTTTCTTCTGTATAATTTTCCCTGCTTCATGGTGTGCATCCTCACAGGTCCTGCTTTCTCAGAACACTGGACCCTCGTGGCCCCTATTGTACCTCATCACCACTTCCTTCAAGCTTCACCTTTCACTGCTAACTACATCATTTCCTCAGTATTTCTCAGTTCAAAGCCTTGAAGAATTTGATTATCCAGATCATCTTCTTGCCCCACGACATGTCGTAAGACACTGGCCAACTTAAAGTTAGCAGTTCTTGGGCAGTTGCCCAGCCCTGGTTATGCAGAGTGCAAAATGGGCTACCAAGGGGTGCTATTTCAGTAGGAGATATGGGCCAAAGAGTCTTTCTTAGAAAGTGTTGTGGCGTGGCTGGTATATGATCCATATGACAAACATATGGATGGAGGAATGGATGGATGGATGGACAGACAGGAATATTGTGTCCTTAGAGAAGTAAGGCATGATTGATTAGGGGGGAGAGGGAGATTTAATGTAGATTTCACAACTGAGCAAAAAAAAAAAACCCCGCAAAAACAAAAAACCCTCTGCATTGGTTTGTTGCAATATATGAATGAGATCCAACCCAAATCCTTCGGAGCTAAGTAATGAACAGATCCTAGTTGGACTAGCTCTTAATGTCAAGTCATTCTTAGAGAAAGAAGATGAATTTCCCCCAAATTCCTTCATACCCTTCTGGTCTGGTGTAGGGCCTGGTCTTCTCTAGCCTTTGCTTATTAGAATTTCCCAAATTTTGTCTCCTAAATATGGCAGTCATGTAAAATACTTAGAATGGTACCTAATTTGTAGTAAGCAATGAACAAATGAGCTATTAGTAGTAGTATACTGTTCGTTCATTGAACGTATCATTTGGCTCCATGTAACAGAATCCTAAACATAGAGGCTTAACCAACTAAGTGAACCACTCCTATTATATCTCTCAATGAATAAATTAAAAATCCCTGCCCTCACTTAATAAGAAGTTTGGAGACACAGATAGCCCGGGGCTGGGATGGCAAACCACAACGCCATCAAGGATCCAGTCTCCTTCTGTCTTTCTGTTCAGCCCTCAACATAGGGTTTTTATCTTCGTGTTCATCACCACAGTGAGCAAATAGTCCTCATCCTTCTTCCTAGTGACCCTAATCATACTCCAGGGAGAAAGGGGGAGGAAAGGACAATGCCTGTATCAGGAAAGTTTCCCCCAAATGCCCCAACAGTCTCCTGCTTATATCTCATTGTCAAAAACTACCTCCCTGCTATCTGGGGCTGCAAGGGAAGCTGGGCACACTGCTACTATAGACAAAATCAGGATTCTCTTGATCAGGAAGAGGAAAATGGATATAGGGTAGAAAACTAGCAGCATCAGGCTTACCTATCCCAAGCACTGAGTACTCCACAGTTCCAGCCCTCAAAACCTGGTGGGATAGAGGTAAACCAGCAATTGAACAGCATGATAAAGACCATGAAAGAGGTGTTTATCATGCGGGCACATAAAAAGGACATCTAATTGATATCTGAGAAGTCAGGAAAAGGCTTGCTGAAGGAAGTGATAGCTGAGACATGAAGCATGGGTAGGTTGGCCAGGGAAGAGTGCATGTGCTGAAATTCAGAGGTAACACTAGGTCTTGTCTGGAAACAGAAGTAGTTTCCTACTAGCGGGGAAAAGAGTAGAGAGTGATGAGGTTGGAGGCAAACAGGAGCCATAACACAAAGGACTTCAAAAGCCATTTTAACTTGGTACTTATCCTTGGGGAGAACCCACGGAGTCAAATTTTGCCTGCTAGCTTTTAAAATTAGAGTGGAAAAACCGTTCTATCTACAGCAACTATCTTTAAATGCCAGTGGATTTGCTGTCCTTTCTTAATGCATCCGGAGATCCACAAATTCACGTAGGCTAAGTCCTCTTACCTCTTACAGGGATTACCCTCAGCAGGCCACTGCATTCAGAAGCTGGGAGTTATCTTTGCTTAAACCTCATTAGCATTTTGTGTTTCCTCTCCAAAATAATGCTGTGGGGTAAATTAGGCTTCTCCCAGAAACACTGCCCCTATCAGGAAGAATCACTTGACTATTTTCTTTATTCAACATTCATGCTCAACCATCTAAGAAGTGTTTTTTGTTTTGTTTTGTTAACAATCAAGGCTTAACTATTAGACTAAGTACACACAGATATCATGAGGAACCTAAGTGATCTCTAACATTTGATTAGCTCACATAACTCCAGGCAGAATACTCATTTTTCTTGATTTGCTGTGAGACCACATGTTGGACTAATCTCCCAGGTTACAAGTTATCCCTGGACGGTCTTAAATAGGTAGCAGGGCACAGCACAGACTACTGTATGGCACTGGGTACATTATCGCGCCATTTCCTAAACTGGCTATCTTTGAAGCAAAATTTGAAAAAGAGAATGACCGGAGTACCTGGCTGCGTCAGTTGGTAGAGCATGCGGCTCTTGATCTTGGGGTTTTAAGTTTGAGCCCCACGTTGGGTATAGAGATTACTTAGAAAGAGAGAGAGAGAGAGAGAGAGAGAGAGAGAGAGAGAGAGAGGATGACTTACTGGAAAACTTCCTTTTTATTACTGCATTTATTTGGTATTATTTGTCTCTATTTAAATCAGCTTTTCAAAGACAAGGGAATTATAATATTCTCTAATCAGCTGAAATCAGTCATTTGCCACCCACTCTCCACTCCCCATTCCAGATTCTTTTTTTGGCATGTAGCTTTATCACCTTTCAGCATACTATATGCTTATATGCTTTACTTCCTTACTACTGTCCATCTCTCTTCACCACATAGAAGTTCTTGAAGAGCAGGTATTTTTTATCTGTTTTGTTCAGTGATGTATAGTATTGGCTAATAGTGCCTAGAATATGGGAGACACTCAAACACTTAAGGATTTGTGTTTCTTCTATGGCTATCTTCCGTCCTGCCAAGGAAGAGCCAAACTCACCTTTGAACTTTTGCATTCAGCTTCTTCTCCCTCTTTCTAAATCCTACCTATCCTTCAAGCCAACAAAATCTACAATTATTGTTTAAGGCAGCAACTATATTCAAGACACTGTTTCAAGAGGCAAATCAACTTTCAAGAATAGTATGCCTTCCCTTTCTCTTCATATTTGAGGGTTTAAGTGTCATTCATCACAAACTAAACATACTAATATTCATTATACTAAAAGTCACTGATTGCCACAATCGCACACTTTTCATGTTACATTGGGATGATTCAGGCATCCTACTAACATAATTGGATTAGCTAGATAGTATTTTAGCAGACCTGAAATTCTGGAAAAGCTGTTATGAATCCTTTCCAAGGACTGTTTCTAAATTCCCTCCTGAGCATCAGGAAGATCTTATATTGAGTCTTACTTTTTGTTGAGTCCTTTCAATTGAAAAGACACATGCAAGAAAAAAAAAAGTATCAACTTTCTGTCAGGCACCATTCACTTTAAGTCCTATAGAAAATCTTTTTTACTGCTGGCCCTAAGAGATTTTTCCTTTTTAAGACTAGATTATAATCTCCACAAAAGTAGGTTTTATCTATCACTATCCCCAACAACTAAGACAGTATCTGACCGACAGTAAGTACTCAAAAGATCTGTTGAAAGAACAGTGCACATTTTATACTTTTATTGCTCACTTCTAAATGCATAATCTGATGAGGGTACACATACTGAAACATAGGCCTACCAACGACCCAGTTGGTCAATCTAACTGTGCCAGAGCCAGGTGGCTTGTTTAAATCATCATGGTAGGCAGAATCCTAAAATGGCTTTCCAAGACGTCCTACTCTAATCCCTTAGACTGTGAAGAGGAGACATTACATCTGTGATGTTACCTTACCTGGCAAAGGGGATTTGGAGATTAAGGCTATAATCATTTGACTCTGAGTTAATCAAAAAGGAAGACTGTCATGGTAGGCCTAATCTGATCACAAAGACCCTTTGAAAGCAGAATCTGTCTGGTTTATAGCAGAAAAGGAAGTCAGATACCAAGAATGAGAAGAATTCAATACACTGTTGCTAGCTAGGAGGGGGCCATGCGCCAAAAAATGTGGGTGGCTTCTAGTTTAGAGTGGCCTCTGATAACAGCAAGGGAATGGGCACATCAGTCCTATAACCACAAGGATCTGAATTCGGCTAACAAACTGAATGAACCGAGAAGCACATTCTTTCTATAGAGGCGCCAGACAAGAGCTCAGCCTAGCTGACTTGATTTCAGCTTATGACACCCCAAGCAGAGAACCCAGTCTTGGACTTCTGACCTACAGAACTGTAAAACAATAAACAGGTATGATTTTAAGCTGCTAAACTGTGGTAATTTGTTAATCAGCAACAGAAAACTAATTATGATCATCCTCTACTAGGAAGTGCTTTCTCTGCAATGACCGAATTCTACAGTGATATGTTTTTTACTGATTCATTTGAATACTATCATGCAAGCCTTCCTCTGCCTTTCCCAAATTTATTTTACTGTTTTCCTTTTCATTCCCCATGGAAATACTGTCCAGGAAAATTCCACCCAAAATTAGTTTTTGCATATGAAAACAAGATAAGTTAAGGTACCAAGGAGAAAGTTTCTTTGGACAGTATGCAGCTTATAATTATTGCCATCTTACTTGTTAGGAGCAATAAACCCCACAAAGAAAGGGTAAAATCATCAGTGACCTAAAAAGGTCCACGTTCTTGCCAATAAATTTGTAAAAAATCAAAAAGATGTAATACAAATCAAATCAGATAATGAAACTGTATTCAAATTCTCTTTAGAACTTATTATCTCAACCTGGAAAACAATCAAATAAATATGTACACTGAGTCAGAAAATTATTTTAATAGTTACAAAAACATCTTTTTTTTTTTTTTTTTTTACAGAATCAGTATAAAATAGCAGTTGATTTCTCCATAATTATGAGAATTATTTGTACTTAAGGTCTTGGCTAAGTGGGGCCGAAATCAACAAAAGGTCTTGGACTGTTGGCTCAGAAATCATCCTAGGAAGCCCACCTTGTTGATGTCTGTCATGCTTAGCTCTTATGAGATGTCCCGGTCCTTTTTTAAAAAAAAAAGTATCTTTTTATTCATTCTTTGGAGGCTTGAAGTGAATTCGGCAGCGTTCATTAAACACCTAAGATATTTAAACAGAAACAAAAGTCGTTGAGTCATCTTGTATAAATCAAGCCTGGAACTAAATTAAATTTGGCATGGTTCAGGAGGATATAACCATTTTTATCCCAGGTCAACAGATTTAGGGAACAGAAAATTTTCCTCATGAGTTCAAAGTGACTTATAGGCGCTAAGAATACAGAAGACTTTGATATCCATTTATAAGCCAATTTTGATTTTTTAATAAAATTTATATTATTCAAGGAAAAAATCATCACAAGCTAGCTTCTTTAGTAACAGTAACTAAAACATTTTCATTACATATTCTGGACAGTTAGACAAAAATATCTAAAATGATTTAAGATAAAGCTTTTTTCCCTATTTTATTTCTTTTTAGATTTTATTTATTTGAGAGAGAGAATGAGATAGAGAGAGCATGAGAGGGGGGAGGGTCAGAGGGAGAAGCAGACTCCCTGCTGAGCAGGGAGCCCGATGCAGGACTCAATCCTGGGACTCCAGATCATGACCTGAGCCGAAGGCAGTTGCTCAACCAACTGAGCCACCCAGGCGCCCTCCCTCTTTTTATAATGTAGATTTTATTTAGATACCTGTTGTGATTTTCTAAATGAGTATTGGATCTTGGATCTTTTTCACAAGTAGGTAAACTTGAAGAGAGATCAGGCCTTTGCTAAATCGTGTAAATTTATAAAATGTTTTGTTCTATTTACCTTGCTTCCTAAAAATCTAAACAAGTAACATATCATAAATGTTAAAAGAACATTTTTCAGTGTCTGTCAATATGGGACTGTGTTAAATAAAAATTTTGGTATAGCCATTCAATGGACTATAATGCAAACATAAAAGAATAAGGAAGGTCTGTGTGTTCTGATGTGAAAAGATCTCCAAGATATAGTAAAGAAAAAAAAGTGTGGACAGTGCACTTTCATAGATGTGACAAATGGGAAACAGACATACATAAAATTAGAAAAGGTGCAAATACCTAAAGCATGTATCATTTTTTCAGAAGGAAAGGAAAGGAGGTGGCTGAAAGGGAGGAATGAGAAGAATTTTTACCATATTTCGTTTAATATTTAAAAAAAAATTTAATCGTGCCTAAAAATTTTTAAGTGTCCAAATAAAAAATTATACAAATCTAAAAATTTCTTCTTAGAATTTACCCTCATACTTCACTGACATAAGGAACAAATCATTTTTAAGGTTAAGAAACAAAACACAGAAAAAACCTATATTGGACACTGTGGACTATCATAAAAAAATAAAAGAAAAATCTACGTAGGGAGCTTTTATGGTACTGGTATTATTCAATCTCTTAAGCTGGGTGGTAGATACATGAATGTTCATTTTATTAATATTCCTTAAATGCTATGTTACATACTCTTTGATATGTGTCATCTCACAATTAGAAGAAAAAAATGTAGAAATTATGTAGACTCTTTCTGGCCCTTTCATCTTATAGCTCATTTCTTGTCAGTTGCCAGCCCTGACATTTCCCTTAAGTTCCCAATGCTCAAATCAGAGGCTTCAGATTAGTGGCCCTGGCACCCTGGGTGGGATGATACCTATGACTTGGCCAAACTTCTCCAAATCCTTTTCCTAAATGCCTTCCTAACCACTTTTGCTGACCTATTGCACCATAGCTACATTTTCTTTTTTTTTAAATCAAGTAGGGAACCTAAGTTTTTGTAGACTGGATGGAGCACATTTTCTTTAAAATTAGAATCAAATCTAAAAATGCTTCACTTGAGGGGCGCCTGGGTGGCCAGTTTTAAGCATCTGCTTTCGGCTCAGGTTATGATCCCAGGGTCCTGGGATGGAGCCCCACATCGCGCTCCCTGCTCAGCGGGAAACCTGCTTCTCCCTCTCCCACTCCCCCTGCTTATGTTCCCTCTCTCACTGTGTCTCTCTCTGTCAAATAAATAAATAAAATCTTTAAAATAAAATAAATAAAAAAATAAAAATGTTTCACTTGGGGTGCCAGTCGGTTAAGTGACCGACTCTTGATTTCAGCTCAGGTCTTGATCTCAGGGTTGTGAGTTCAAGCCCCACTTTGGGCTTCATACCAGGCACGGAGCCTACTTAAAAATAATTTTTAAAAATAATAATAATTAAAAAATAAAAATGTTTCCCTCATCCCACTACATTTGACATATATCAACCTCTCCACTGGGTTTTTCAAACCAGATATTCATTGTACCCCTCCCCTATGCCATCCCAACAGTAAATATCTCTCTGGAGAACATAAATGAACAAGTAACACCAGAATCTTTCAAGTAGCAAACACCTTCTCACATTGGTAGAAAAGGCAGGAATAGGAAACCCTGGCAAAGAGGACAGAATAAAGAAAAGTGATAATACGGCAAAGAAAATCAATTTGTACTTTGCAATTTATTCATAGTTCTGCAAGTTGGGACATTCTAGTTTGTGTTCAGTTAACCTCTCTCTGTGTTTAACCTCATTCCATTGGTCAATTTCAAAGGATGAAACAGAATTTTCAGTTCATTCCTTCAGATTTAATAGATGATTTCCCTTCAGAAATCTTTGAATTTTTAGAGAAGGGTATAGAGCTATACCATTTCATACAACTAAAGTCAGCATTTTATGATTTTTGACTACAGGTAAAGTTCTGGAATCCTGGTCCCCCAATCTAATTCCTATTCAAAACTACACAGGTGGTAATAAGGAACATGTGAACCAGGGAGCCATAAAAGGCCCTATTATCAGATATCAGAAAAGTTATGTACAAATAAGTTCCATGATCAATATGTTAGAAAGCAAGCAACTGCAAAGGGTAGCTAATGATATGAAAATTTATGCAAAGTAATAGGGCTCAAAAAGGCTAATTTTAACAAATAACACCACTGAAGGTCCTAAGTTAATTAGTAATAACCCTAAATAACAAGTATGTCCATAATTAGTATTAAGAAACATACAGAATGTCTCCAGTTCTGTTACCATGACAGGTCATACAATCTACCATATGACTGTAAAGCTGATTTTTATAAGCTGGCTCTATTTGGATGCCAACTGCACCCTTTCTCAAAGTTAAAACCTTCAGTTGCTTATAAATGAAAGATGTCTAAAAAGGCCCAAGGCACTCCTTACTCCCCCTCCCTTGGTTTCCCTTTGCTAGTTCAGTTTCCTTCATAGTTCTCTCCAAGAACCAGCATTATTTTATACCTTCCAGCTCCTGTCATTTACAACTTCTTCAACATTCAGTTCTGACTGCATCCATTTCAACTGCAAAAAGGAAAAAAAAAGTCAGAGTTATGAAAATTCAAATTAAAGAACTAAAACTAAATTCTATTTATAGTTTCCTAATAAAAGGAGCTCCTGCTGCAACATTCTTTGTTAATGGTACCACCTGGGCTAGATCTTGGACACAGCCCATTCTCCCCATATCTAATCAGCTGTTAAATCTTCTAAAGCCATGGTTCTCAAGCATATAATAATCACCTTGAGAGTTCTTAAAAAAAAAAAAATGTCCAGGTACTTCACAAAAGGAATACAAATGGCCAATAAATGTATTTTTTAAATGTACAATCTTACTAATGTTTAAAGAAATGCAAACTAAGCCATAATATGGCAAAAATTTTAAAAAATGGGTACGTCTGATAAAATCTACTACTAGTAAGGATATGAAAAAATATACACTCATATACATTTTTAGTATGGAGGGCAATTTGGTAAGATTTATAAAAACATAAATTCACATGTCATTGAACTCAAGAATTCTAGTTCTGGTTACTGATCCCGTAATAGTGATTTGCAAAGACAGCACAGACGAATAAAAAGGAGAAGGAGGTGGCAATCTAATTTGGATGAAGAAAAAAGAATCAGGAAGAAAAACAAAAAAGAGAAAGGGAATACATAAGGCCCAAAAGATCTAGAAAGGCATCATCTTTCACCTTGAGCACACAGCCAGAGGTCTGAGGTTAAAGATGCTAAAGCCTTTCTAACTTTCTTGATAACTGCCAACCTAGTTACACCATCAGAAAAGTAACCAATTCCATTGCCAGGCCCACATGGCGGAGCCCATCATACTCCTAGTCACAGAAACTTAAAAGAAAAGAAACTAGCTAGTTCCAGGAAGGAGGCTTGAAAATATTCAGGAAAATTAGGAGAAAAAAGCATGAGCTACAGGTCAAAGCAGCCAAGAGGTTAAAACTAGGATGATTTCCTTAGGCCAAAGTCAAGACTCAGGCCAGGAGACTTGGAAACAAAATGCGAGAGAGCTAGACAAGGTCTAGGCAACCATGAGTCAGGGACCCAGACCAAAGAACCTGATTAGTCAGGAGCACAGCTCAGGCAGGACATTTAAGCAATGCACATGTAACACTAATAAGACAGGAACTTAGTACTGATCCACTGGCCCCTTGTAAACTCCCTTGCTAGACTCAAAAATAGTGTCAGAGTATACACAGGTACAAAGGACTCAAACTAGAACAAGACGAAGGACTGCATTTCTGACAACCAGTATTGTGCTAAAAGTAGTAACAAGCCTGAAGAAGCCCATCTGCTTACATGAAAGCAACCTCAGTTTCAGCTTATAATCAGCTACATGGACCAGAAATCATGAAAACTTCACTGATCTGTCAAAGCCTGGACTGAATGCCAAAAAATTAACAAGCTCAGTCAAAAAACTGGGTCATGGGATGCCTGGGTGGCACAGCTGGTTAAGCCTCCTCCAGCTCTTGGTTTTGGCTTAGGTCATGAAGTCAGGGGCATGAGATCGAGCCCCGCATTGGGCTCTGCACTCAGCACAGAGTCTGCTTGGGATTCTCTTTCCCTCTCTCTCTGCCCCTCCTGCTCATGCTCTTTCTCTCAAATAAATAAAATAAATCTTAAAAAAAGAACAAAACAGGGTTACAACATGTCACTAGGACAGTCTTCATAACTGCTCTCAAATATTTAAAGGGAGGTCATGCAGAAATGGGTTTAGACTTATCCTATATACCTGCAGAGGGAAGATTAAGGAGCAGTAATCATATGTTACAGGGAGGCAGATCTTCACAACATATAAGAAAATCTCTGAATGATTATAACCATCCAAAAAGAAAATGCACGGTTACAGAAGATTCAAGTACTCCTCCTCCCCTGCCCCCTTAAGTAGTGGTTAAACAAAGGTAGAAACCACTGGTTGGGAGATACTGTAAGGAGGATTAATGTAACAAACACGGAGTCCCAAAGACTCAAAAAGGAAAGGAAAGCAACTACTAAGTATATCAGGGATATGCGAGCTCTTACACACATAATTTAATCCTAATCCCTAAAATTGAAAGTGTAAGAAGTCTTGACTCCATTTTACAAACTAAAAATCCAATTATTTCAGGGCAATTAATTTATAAGTTTACAAACCCACCATGTGGTGGATGGGATTTATTTCCCTAGAGCTATCTGCCTTTATAATCCACGTTTTCTCTATTCTTGAATGCTGCAGATATTACAACCAACTTCTAACACAATTTCAGAGCCACCAACAAAATGCTACCTCTGAGATGGTTGTTTTTGAGGCTCTAGGTCTTAAAGTGGTAAACTTCCTTTCAAAGGCCACTAATAGGTGACAACGGTTATATAGTTCCAGCAAGGAATGTGCTTTTTCTGCGTTAAGGACTCAGGGAAAGAACTGGGACTTTTAGACTGGCGTTTCTGCATATAAATAAAATATGTTCACTTAAGTAATGAGAACTTGACTATCAGTCACCATTTAATGTACAAACACTGAACCCAGAGTCAGAAGAGATAGGTTAAAGTTCCAGCTCTACCACTCACTAGCTTGTGACTTTGGGGATGTCAGTGAGTATCTCTGATCTCAGTTTCCTCATTCAGAAAAGGAAAAGGTAGAGCTGGATCATCTCAGAGAGTTCTCTTTCTGATTCCATAATCTTCATGACAAACTTGAAAATTAAAAAAAATTCAAGCTTCCTTACTTGGTTAGGTACTACTCATGGTCACTCTCTAGTTCTATAGAGTATCAATCTAGAAAGTTACCTTTTATAACCTGCTAACTGGTTTCTAAAACTACTCCTTGCAATAGTCATCCTGGCGATTCTCTCTGGGCCCTGAAGGCTTAAGGGCAGAAATGAGGGCGGACCAAATTATGTGATAGGTCACTCCCAAGTACTCAGTGGTTTCTGAACTTTGCTCTCCACTAACAAGAGTCATTCTAGTCTTTGTTTGACTTAACATGCAAATAGTGAGTTTCAGGTTTCAGATACAACAGCCCTGCCCCACTGTTTCCTTTGTCAATACCTTCAAAAGTCTGTTAAAATACAAAATCCAAAAATAATTAGATTTTAACCTACTTTATATAAATTATCTACAAGACTTAATAAACACTAAGTAAGATGACCATTACAGCATAAGATCACTGGCTGAGGAACCCACCACTGTCTGATGAATGGGCAGGTATGGAACACAGGACTGAAACAGTCATAATGAACTAAGAGAGCAGTGCAGATAGGGGATGAATCTCACACCCAGCAAGACAAGCTGCATCAGTGGGATGACTGAGCAAGTGCGCATACTCACCTGTAGGCAGTTATAAGAATAAAGGCTTGAGAGATGATAAGGTCCCCTTTTCAAAGTTTGGCTACATCTACTAAACAAAGGGCAGACTTCATGACTGTTTAGTAATGAAAAACAAAATTCCATCCCATACTGGATTTTCAGTCACCTGACATGCAAGGATCAGTAAGTCACCTATTGTGCCATCTTAAAACACAGACATGATTTTGATAATTGCTCAGTGGTCATGTAGGAAAAAGCCCCTCTTCTTAGGCAATGACCAACATATGTAAGGGGCAAAGGAACCATGTACCCACCATTCTTGCCAAATGGTTCAGGAAAAAAAAATGCCTACATGTGGTAGGAAGGGGAGGAAAACAGGGAAAGGTGGGAAGGAGGAGGGAGAAGGAGGAATGGAGAGAATGTACTGCAAAGCAGGTGGGGCAAAATGTAAACGATGGGTGAATATAGGTAAAGGGTAAACGTGAGTTCCCTGTACTATTCTTGCAACTTTTCTGTAAGTTTGAAATTATACCAAAATAAAAAGTTACTCTTTAAGCACCACCCCCAAAGGGAAGACAGCAATGCATTCCACATAATAAAATACCATACACATTTCAACTGTTTTCTTGACATGTCACCATTAAGGGCTATAAAGAAACAGTTCTGTTCCATTTATCATACTCTGAGGTCCACACCCTATCTACATTAGCTGACTTTGGGAAAATAAGGCTTCCTCTGACATAGCACTCAATGGACATTTACTGTTTTCTTAAAAGCGAAAACTGCAGGGATGGGAGACAAAGTGGAAACAAAAAAGTGTCCAAAAACAGCCAAAGACCCATACCAACTTCTCTGCAGTAGAGAAATAAATTATAATGAGGTTCTAGTGTATGTGGTTATATTCAAATAGTACTATATTTTTATGGCTGAAGAGGGTAATATTCAGAATTATCTGTACTGCATTTCAGCAAATTTCTACAGATGAAACCAGAGGTAACTATTCTCAAAATGTAAATATATTTGAAAAAGTTTATTCTCAAGTCAAGCCTTTAAACATTGATACAGACATGATTCCCTAGATTTTCTGATGTGGTGTTAGGTCTATACTAATCCTTTTATCTTTACTAGTATAACATATAAATACATGGAAAGAAAATATGACTACATGCTTCTTTAAGTTAAAGCTGCTACACTGCATATATGCATGAAATGCACATTAACTTACCAACTAATATCTAAATGTAATAAAATAAAGCCCACTAAAAATGAAGTATTACTCTCCTGGTCATTTTTTTTTTTTAAGTAATGACCATTTCTTACTCTAAAATTTTCATATTAAAAACTGCCTTTAGGGCACCTGGGTGGCTCAGATGGTTAAGCGTCTGCCTTCGGCTCAGGTCATGATCCCAGGGTCCCGGGATCGAGCCCTGCTCCTTGGGAGCCTGCTTCTCCCTCTGCCTCTCTCTGTCTCTCTCTGTCTCTCATGAATAAAGAAATAAAATCTTTAAAAATAAATAAATTATTTAAAAAAAAACTGCCTTTATAGAACCTTAAAAAAAAAACAAACCAACCCTGCCTTTATTAAATTTGGAAATCTTTGGCTCAGAAATGTAAATCTTATTCAACTTACCTTTGTCTGTTCTTTCCTAAGTTGCTTTAATAACGTTAAATCATCCAAATTCTTTTCTCTCTCTTCTCGGAGGTGTTTTACTACTGATGAGGTCTGAGCTATACAATTTTTTATGACTCTGTCTCTGCTGGCATGAGCCTCCTTCAACTAAAAGAACAAAGGCACAAAAGAGAAAAATCACACCAATTTTTTACATTTTAGTCTTTTTTAAAAATCCTATTTTTAGGTTATAGAAAGGTAATACTTTCTAAACAATTTTTAAAAACTGAATCTTTGGAAGCGAAGATTTTGCTGAGCCAGCTAAGTCACCTAAAAACAGATCAAAGGAAGCACTTCTCCTGGTGGAACGTAGTCGGGTTGCCTTCTTCCTCAGTATGCTTCTGGGACTTCCCACTCCTCTCCCTGCATTTCCCACAAGCGGCTTTTCATTTCAGTCCCTTCTCCCTACATTTCTCTCCCCAGTTTTCCCCGTGTTGTGATCTTCTACCCTCCACCCACCACCGCCCCCACACCTCCAGGGCTACTACTGCTATTCTTCCTCTCTTTTTTTGTCCTTTCGTGGTTTTCTCCAGACCCCTGTTGTCCCTAGGTACAAGAAATTGCAAATTAAATGACGTAGAGAAGCAATCTGTTACAATAAAAAACAAAGAATGCTACATTTACCTATGCAAGACAGAGCCCTTTCCAAGATTTTAAAGTTCAAGTATTAATACAGAAAAACTGTGTATAAGGTACAGACTACTGGTTCCACCAACTGTGTGAACTGACTGAAAGGACATCTGACAGGGCAATTCTTTACCAAACTTTCATCTTTATGTAACAAATCCAATACAACAATTTGCATCTATTTTCTTCCTTGATTCACAAAGTATGATGTTCATGACTCCCATGATCATAACCAAATTCTGATTATACCCCAATAATCTGGGGGAGAGGGAAAACAAAGTACTAAAATAATATGTAATTGCCATTATAATTAAGGGAGGATTAAAAAAGATGACTCACCTTCAACTAAAATTTAGGTGTTAACTTGCTCCAAGTAATCATGTTCTATCATTCCTTCTTCCCTCTGAAGAGAGAATATCTTAATGCTACGCTAGTGACAGTTATACTAGGGATAACTGTAACCATTATATATACATTTATATAAAATTTAGGACTAAACCATTCTATAAGCATTCTTCAGAAGTTACCTGAAACACATCACTTAAATGATCATCTCAGGACCCTGAAGTTAAGAATTACTGGTCTAATATGTACCAGGAAAAAAATAAACTTTTGCATTTCTAGAGTACAGTAATACTAAAAGTGCATTGGTTATAAATCATACCTATGTGAAAAGAAGGAAATTAAAATAGACATTAGCCCCACCTACTGTAAATTTCTCTAATATGCTAATTTTTTTCACTGTAATAGGATTCACAAGGACAGCCCAAGGTCTATATTTTATTGGCTAATATGCTGCTTCTGTTACTTGGTTCCTCCTTCAGGTATAATTTCAGAAAATGAAAGGAGCCATTAAGGGTAGGAAAAGTCCCAAAATAGAGTGAGAAGAACCATCATTAGAGTTAAGAAGCTCTCCCTGTTGTGAGAAATAATTAGTATTTCCAGGCTTCAGTTTCCTCTTTTGCAAAATTATGGATTATGAGTAAATCATCACTAACATCCTTTCTACCTCTAAAATTTAAGGGTAACGCAACTCAATACGCTGCTCAGATGTCAGATGCTACTTAATCACTTTGATATTTTGTCTAAACCCCAACAATTGGTGAAATCGCATTAGCACCAACTAGGAGTCTGTCACAGTATTTTCATTTTTCTATCTGCATTTTAAAATCAAATTCAAATTGTGTACATTTTATTAAAATGCTCAATATTTTCCATTCAGTCTCTCTCACCACAGAGTTTCCTCCCTTGGTTGGGGGATTTCATCCACTGTTCCCCTCTTTAACTTGGCCCCTTGCCTGTGATACACTTCTAGCTGAAGACCACCCTCCTACTCTCACCTGCATACTCTTCCTTCAGATTAGCCCCACTGTGAACCCACTCCCCTGTGGACAGAAATTACTGAGCAAATCATCTTTTACTCTGTATTATCAATTATTTTAGTCTAGCTTTCATGACCATCCTTCAACAAAATTCAGAATTAAGAGCCACTGGCAAGAGGAATATGCATGGACTTCTGTACACTTACGTCAAAGAAATGAGGACGCTTGAGAACTCTACTAAGACTGTGTGACATAAGTCTACCAGAGAAAAATATAGCATGAAATCAGACTTATTAGCTCATTAGTAATTGAGATGTTTCAGAAGTTGGGTCACATGAGAATTGTTTTTATATACAAAGTACTTGTCAAAGGAATGAAGATAAAATTCATCAAGAAACTTGGCAAGGTAAAAGGCAAGACCTTTGGTTAGAGGAGAAAATTCTTGAATGATAACCATTATCATAACCATACTTCCCTTGATTTGGGGTAAGCAATTCGGAAATGAAGGCATTTGGGATGGGGCAGGGAAATGATTCAAAACTAGTCTAACAGGGGTCTATCTAGGACTTCCCAGTTTTATTTTACTTTACCAAAAACTCTAAGAACTTCTTTTAGTCAAATTTTCACCTACTATATCTTTTAACCATTATTTTAAAACAATGCTTTTTGCCTTTAAGGGAAAAAATGCCAACAGTTTTCCTGATTATTATAGTTTTTTGGTGTTTTTCTTTCCAGAACAAAGGTGGATTCTAAATTAACTCTATACTAAATTCTAATTTCCCAAACATCATTTGCTTCAGAACCCTGACAATGACCCTTGGTTTAACTATCATTAAAAACAAAATAAAAATTACTAAGTTTTTGTCATGGCACTTTGTTTTAAATCTTCCCCTAGAACTTTTGACAAAAGGATGCAAGGGGAAACATGTCATTTAAACATATATTCCAAAAATTCATTATATTAAAGAGATATCTTTAAGAATTACCCTAAATCAATCACTGTGACACCAATAATAGTTTTGCATTTGTAAAGCACTATTCCAAGTTCATAGACTTTTTAAGGTTCAGCATTGATTTTTATGTTTATCTTGAGAATAAACAATAAACAATGTACAGCTAAAAAACTTCATAGATTCAAGGGAATACGCTCTAATAAGGGTATCTCACCGAAATTATTTTTATTACAAGTATACTTCTAAGATGTGGAATTTCTACAATTAGTGCTTCATAATAACTTGGCTAATCATCTGCTATGAAGAAGTATTATCATTAGAGAGTACAAACATTCCTTCCTCAGCTATAGAAGGAAGGGCTGGGGCGAAAGGAAGTCAAGGTAACCTTAACAACCTGGATGTTTCACAGAGTTCCACTCTTAACTGAGACAATATTTAAGGGAACTCAGTGGGACTTCTTAGCACGGGCACTCTGCTGCAGGCTCGATCACTGGCAAAAAAACTGCTAGATAAACCATCCTTTCTCTGATGGTCATGTCGCTGGAGCCCTTTAGGGTACAGACAGAGAAAAACCCAAACACATACGTAAGAATATCCAAAACAGAAAGATCCTAAATATCCAAAACAAAAGGTTCTAGTACGCAAGATTATTCTGGTTCAACAAAGGGATAAGAAATAACAACAACAGTAACAGAAGCAGCAAACATTTACATGTAAGACATTTAGTACAGTAAGCACCTCATATTACCTCAGGCCTTTAACAACCCTATGAACTAGGTACTATTATGATATTGTTTTACAAATAAGGAAGCCGAGGCAAAAAGTTATGTAACATGTTCAAGGTTACCAGCTAGGAAGTAGCAGAGGTAGGATTTAATCTAGATATGGAATCCATGTTGTTAATCCCTACACTATAAATCTTCAAGTTAATAAAAAGATTGTAAAAGGAAACAACTGAATAGATTATAGAGATTATATGGGTAGCGAGATCATAAATTTCTAGTTCTTCAGACAGAGCTACCCGAAGAAATTAAGTGAACTGTCAAACAACCTCAAAATAAATTAGGGCTTGGGACTCTGACTCCCTACTTCCAGTACTGGGTTCTACTCATTAAAGCCCACAACCTTGGAATTTTCAAGCCACAAGAATTACCTGCCCACTCAATGAAATTACATACTTTCATATAAAAGCAGAATAAAAATTATCAGCAATTATTGCTTTGAATTTAACTGATATGAATAAGCTACCTAAAACTGACTTTTTTTTTCATAACTGAGAAATAAAATCTAGATTTTAAGTATTACTTGTGCTAAAGAAGCCAATGCCATTTGAACATTAGCTTCCAAGTTAATGAAAAGATGTAAGTAAATTATAAAAAAATACTTAGCTACATTATTACTATTTCCTTTTGCCTTTGGAATTTATAGACAATAAAGGGAATCTTTAAGAGGCAATGAAAAAATATGTACTTGAGAAACCAAAGCCTCAGGAAAGGACAATTTATCTGTGGCTTTTCGCCCAACTGCCAAGTCTATTCCCCTTCCTGATGACTGAGGAAAGAAAAAAGATATAGAAAGCATGAAGCGTCTTAATTCTTCATTGTATTAGGTGTCTGGCTTCTTAGGATTGATTCATTCAAAGCCCTTGCTCTTGTTTCACTGTTTTACTCGACTGTTTCACTCTCTCCTTCATTCGCTCATGCATAAGGTTTCCTTAAGTTAAAGGCTACCCATGAAGGGGCTAAAAAAACTGCTCTCATTCCTTAGAATGATCTCTTCATAGACTTGTGCATAAGATCACACATTTTCTTTAGTTTGTAGCAACCAGATCAAAACTTGTACACACCCTCAGATGTAGGCAAGAAAACATGAAGATGTCATACTTTTATCCAGTTTAATTATATGTCAATTGGTTTTTTATTTTGCCTGCAAAGAAAGGCATAAAGGAAGCACAAAAGACTCAAAAGATTACACTTACAGACTCATAAAGTTGTTTACAGGTTTGGCTTGCATCAATTTTCCCTGCAAAGGAAGCTGTTGGAACCGTAGTGTTTAATTCATGTACTATTCTGTCATCAATCGTCCTCATCACCTTGAGTAATTCCTATATATGTTTAAAATAAAAGAATAATAACCTGAATGGAAAGTTAAGTGATAAAAAAGAAACATTTAAACAAACAAACAAAAAAACCCATAAAGCTCTTGGATATTTTACAACTTTGTAAGTTAGAAGTAGAGAAACCATGCTAAATTTAGTGCAACCACAGGAAAATCTTTATTACAAGAATAGGAAGGTTATGTAATAGTAATTCTAAGAATGGGCACCAACCGACTCTGTTTCTTGGCTCAAATGTGACCATCTCAAGGGTCAAGATTGTTTTATTCACTTTTAAACCCCACCTGCTGACACAGCGCTTAGCAAACTGTGTGTGTGCTCATTCCATCCCCACATATAGCCAATAAAGGGTTCTCCTGAACTCGATTACTCAGATTATCCCAAACAGTCCAGCATAACTGCTTGCTCTATTCCCTCTTTGCCTGTCATTCTAAAATGTGGTGCTAGACAGAAAAATTCTGTAAAGATATATAAGAAAACTCAGTAGTAGTTCACTTGTAAGAAATTAACCTATAATCTTTTAGTCTTTTTGTTTTTTTAGTTTTTTACTATGATTGTGTCTTATTTCTGTAACAAAAAAAAGTAAAACAAAGCATGCTGCTTGAGAAGGAATCAAATCTCTTCATGGCTTTCTTGTTCTTATAACAAATTAGTTTTACCTTTTCTTAGTGACCCTACACACATTTCCCAAGGATCTCTTCCTCCTGAAAAGGCTCCAACTCTCAAAAAACCAACCAAAAGAAAAATAATACCAAAAGGGCAGAGGACTTAGAAAGACTCTGGTAAGTATACCTACCTAGGATAGTTCCTTCTCTCTACATTTTGATTAGGGTACTTCTTTTCACTTGTCACTAGAGAAAGGCTGGGCAACAGTTACACTCCATCTCCAGAAAACACAAACTCTAGAACCAGTTTCTAGGAATATAGCCTTTTCTTTTCTTTTTGTTTCTTAAACTCTCCTTTCTGCACCCTAGCCCAGCAAAACATAATGACTGAAAAATCATCAGGAAATCTGAAGTACATAATGCTAGAAATATACATATTAAAAACCCCCAACAAGTTAACAGTCAATATTAAAGTGTGTTAAAAGCAACTTTGCTTGATCCTCTGCCTCGCCTCCTTCAACATACCAACCCATTCCTTTCCTTTGCCAAACTGAAATCCATGAGTGAAACCAACGTCTTTATTTGTTTCTTCATCCATTTGTTAAAATAAAAACTTTTATTATGACTAAAGTATTACATAGTCATTTTAGGAAAATTAGTAAAACTTACAAATAAAAATCATCCAGTTAACCATTATTATTATAAAATGTACCTTTAGTTTTTTCTGTACATATCTATGAATATTTTTATAAACAAGGTCCTTTGTAACACTCTAAAGTCCTACTTTATGACATTACACCATGAGCATTTTGCCCTTGTTATAAAAGTGGCTTGAAGACATTTTTAATAGTTGGCAGAATCCTGTGGAGGTATCACAACCTGTAAGACCACTTCCCCAATAATGAACATTTAGGTGTTTCCAATTACAAAAACCACTTAAGCCATCTGGTCTAAATCTGCAGTTTAGATTCTGTTCCTATCAGTCTATTCATCTTTAATTAGTAATTTAATGGCCTTTTTTAGATCTCAATCTAGAAGTTAAACAGCTTATAGAAGGCTCATAATTTAGACTAATAAAACACAGGCAAATGTCAGGTCTAAAACCAACTGCACTATCTTACCCCCTCTTTCTGTATCTATTTTTGTTAATAGTAGCATTATTCTCTATAAACTGGAATTCTTAAGGGATAATCTCAACATATTCACTAAGCAACCACCACTTTAAATGTTTTTTGTACAATGGAGGATATATGTGTATATATGAGTGGCAAAATCCAAACAAATGGTGGCAGCACCATTTAGTGTCAAAAACCAGGTAAGTAAGAAATAGTAGCAGACAGGGACCTTCCTTGCCAACTTTAGCACCTGCAACGTGACTATTCAAAAAGAAGAAGATGAAGAAGCAGCAGCAGCCTCCTTGAAAAATCTCTTTTCCCCGGGCGCCTGGGTGGCTCAGTTGGTTAAGCGACTGCCTTCGGCTCAGGTCATGATCCTGGAGTCCCAGGATCGAGTCCCGCATCGGGCTCCCTGCTCGGCAGGGAGTCTGCTTCTCCCTCTGACCCCCCCCCCCCATGTACTCTCTCTCTCTCATTTTCTCTCTCTCAAATAAATAAATAAAATTTAAAAATAAAATAAAATAAAAATCTCTTTTCCCCTATCTAAACTGAAATGATCTTCTGAGACTGAGGATGATCTTCTGAGACTGAGGTTTAAGTTACACCTTTTAGATAAAGCTTTCCCTGGCTGAGAGTCCTCGGCAATCTTTCTTCTTTCAACATATGCAGCACTTAGAATATAGCACAATTCATTTACTAACTCACTCTTCATTCAATAAACATTTGGTAATGTCTAGTATGGGTCAGGCACCATTCTAAACACCAGGGCTACAGTGGTGAATAAAACAGAAAAGGTCCTTGCTCTCTGGGAGCAAAATTCTCATAGCGGGAGACAGACAATAAGCAAGTACCTCAATAAACAAGATAATTTTCGTACTGAATACTATGAAAAAGAAAACAAACAGGTAATGGGATAAAGAATGACAGTAGGGCTAAGAGGCTAGCACTTTAAAACTTTTTTTTTTAAGAATTTATTTATTTATTTGAGAGAGAGAGAATGAGAGATAGAGAGCACGAGAGGGAAGAGGGTCAGAGGGAGAAGCAGGCTTCCCGCTGAGCAGGGAGCCCGATGTGGGACTCGATCCCGGGACTCCAGGATCATGACCTGAGCCAAAAGCAGTCGCTTAACCAACTGAGCCACCCAGGCGCCCCTGAGGCTAGCACTTTAGATAGGGAGATCAAGAACGGCCTCTCTGAGGATGCAGCATTTTGAGCTGAGAACTAAATGATACGAATAAGCCAACTAAAAGAACACCTGGGGAAGTAAGTCAAAAATGATGAGGCAAGAACAAACTTTGGGGTATATGAAGAACTAAAAACAAGGCAAGTGGGCTGGGAGTGAATATGGGAGAAAGTGGTGTTAGGTGAGGTCAGAGAGACTAGAAAATGAGGGACAAGAGACCGGGGAAACAATGAAGGATTCTGTTCTAAAGGAAACAGGGTTTTAGGCAAGGGAATGCTATAACATGATTAATTTTTTTAAAACATAACTTCGCCTGGGGCGCCTGGGTGGCTCAGTTGGTTAAGTGACTGCCTTCGGCTCGGGTCGTGTTCCCAGGGTCCTGGGATGGAGCCCCACATCTGGCTCCTTGCTCAGCGGGGGGCCTGCTTCTCCCTCTCCCTCTACCAGCTACTCTACCTGCTTGTGCTGTGTCAAAAAAAAAAAAACAGAAGAAGAAGAAGAAGATAACTTCGCCTCTGTGTGGAGAATGGATTATAGAAAGGAGAATGGAAACAGGGTGACCATATAACAGACTACTGCGGTGGTCTAGGCAAGAGATAAGGATAGTTTGAGAGGTAGCAGTAGGGTTAGGGAGAGGAAGCTGGATTCTGGATATATTTTGAAAACAGAGTGGATAGGACTTGCTGATGAACTGGTGGTGGGTAATGAGAAAAGAAAACAAGATGACTGTTAGCTTTGAGGCCTGAGCAACTGAATGGATGGTAGTGCCATTAATTGATGTTGGGGAGAGACTGGGGGAGGAAAAGATTCGGAAAGAATGAGATCAAGGTTCTGTTATGATGTATAGGATATCTGATGATATTTAGGATTATTGTTAATTGTATGTGATACTGGTATTGTGTTTTAAAATTACCATCTTTTAGAGATACAGACTGAAATATTTACAGAAAAAAAATAAGGTTTCTGGGGCGCGCTGCAAAATAATCTGGATAGAATGGGGTGAGTGGTAGAATATAAATGAAACAAGAGTGGCCATGAATTGATTGTTGAAGCTAAGGGTTGGGTACATAGTGATTCATGGTAGCAACTCTCCTTTTGGATAGGACTGAAATTTTGCACACAAAAAGGTTTTTGTTTCTTTTTTTTAAAAAGGTTCTGTTTTGGACATGTTAAGTTTAAGAAGCTTATTAAATATCTGAATAGACAAGTTGAATGGAAAGCTGAAAATACCAGTCTGACACTGAACCAGGCTAGAGTTATATTAACACAACGATATTATTAAAAGCCATGAGATGAGAAGAGATCACTGAGGGAAACTGTAGGGAATGGGGCAGGGGGCAGTTAAGAAAGAACTCAAGCAATTCAAGTACAGGAGAAAAACTAATATTGCACAAATCAGAAGAAAGGTTGCAAGGAGCGAATGGTCACCTGTGTTGAGTGTTACTAGGAAGTCAAAGAAAGATGTTTAGATTTAGCAGGATGGAAATCCTGGGTGATCTTAATAGGAGTCATTTGAACAGAATGTTTAATGGACTGAAAGTTAATGTGGCTTATGTACAGAGAGTAAGAGAAAACAGTATAAAATGAAGCCCACCATTACAGATCACATTGTTGATTTTAATCTTTTTCCTCAGAGAGTGGAGAACCAAAGAAGTGTTAAAGTATGGTGGGGTTACATGATCAAATTTGTACTCTGAAATGATAGCTTAGGTTAAAGTATTAAAATATGGAAAATGAATTAGATAGGAACAAGAGTAAATGCAAAAGGATCAGTTAGGAGATGAACACAGCAATCCAGGTAAAAGACTGCAAAGCTTGACATTCCATGGAATTTTTTATTTACTCTGAACTTTAACTAGTTTTGAGTTTGATCACTAGCTATATAGCCAAATTCCTCTCCATTAAAACAATGTGGACATAACTGTTAAGTTCCTTATATGGCAATGGGAATTTATCTGCATTAACTAGGTATTTTCACAGTCTTACCAATGGAAACTACAACTGTGGATTTTCAAATATATCAATTCTCAGAGTGCTAGAGAATCATCAATATATGATCTAGAGCTTGACTTTTAGTATGGCAGA